TGTCTTTCCACCTCCCACCACACACCACTGAAGAGTATCACCTTATTGATAACCTGGCTTGTAGGTTGCTTGTGGGAGGCTGTTCTTTAGTGTTCCCTCTGTAAGCTCTTTGCACCAAGCTGAACATACCTCACTACCTCAGGTTCTCTAGCCTTCAGCCACTGCAGTGACCCTGTGCTTGACTCATTCTGGGTTTTTTTATATCTTTCCTGGTGGATACTAAGCTTGCACAGTAATCTAAGCACTGGTGAATAGAAAGGAATCCTTTGATCAATAGCATCCTTTGATCTCCTGGCTGTGTTTCTTCTTGTACCACCCAGGAGTCTGTTGTCCTTCCTTGCTCTCAGGGTACAACACCGGCTTACATTTGGCAAGGAGTCAAGAGCATTTCTGCCACTGGAGTATAGCAAACAAAGGCAAATCCTCTGCCATAAGCCCAGGATCCCCAGGCATGTCCTCTTTCTCCATGCTGTAGTTGAGCTGGGGCAGAATTTGAAGACTTTAATGAGCCCCTGCTGCAGCAACCTTTGCTGCCATACGTCCAGAAGCTCCTAGCACTCCATCTGCAGCAGTTGTACTTCAGTGTGTGCTGACCAATTCTCCAGCCATGTTCAGTGACTAAGAAACATCTTGGTGTGTACATGGTGCACAGCTCCAGTGTCCCACTAACAATTCAGAAGAATCATATAGTAGCAAACCTGTGCAACAAATAAACTTATATTTATCTCATGAAAGCCCCAAAAGACATACGGTAACTATAGATGTTAGCAAAATTATCTGTATGGAAAGGGTAAGAGATGGCCTGCTTGTCAAAGGTCTGGTGTGTAGCCAATATTGTGGCATCCACAACTGTCTTTTAAGTAACTGATTGTCATCAAGAATGGAGAGGTTGATGTCTTAACATCTTTTTCATCAATTCTAGTATACAAGTTATTACACAGTGCTGAGTGGTCACAACCCCACTGGGAACCAACATCTTTCAAAATTGCTCATTATTCTCTTGAGCATGAAAAACATCAGCCAGAAGAGATTAATCAACTTGCACACCTGGCTTCACACAGTTTGCTTCTTTTCAGTTACGAGTGCTTTGTGCAATGATTTAAGACTCTGGTAATGTTTCACTGAGAAGACACTTATCATAGATTCCTTGTTCTTATTTCCCCTGTCCAGTTTCTTACTCATCTACAGCTGCCCATGTTTGATGTATATTCCATGCTGGAGACAAAAATTGTTATCACCCCTGGTTCATAAATCATGTTCATTGTGAAATTAAAACAAACAAGAACTGTAAAACTTGATCACCTCACTCTTACATGCAGGGAGATGCTGTTCTATCCTGTACTGAAGATGATGGTAGTCCAACAGCATGCCTGGAGCCCATGGATTTGGGCAAGGCCACACTTGTTTGTTGTAGTCGCTGATCAGACCACACAGAATTTGCAGGACAAGGGTCTTCATTACTGGTGTCAGTGAAGATACAGAGTTGTATTTCCCAGCAAATTGATCAAACTCTCTTCCCATTGTAATCATTCTCCTTTTAATCATTTTATTTAAACAAAGTAGAATTCGCCTGAAAGTGAAGGGCAGACAAGTAGACTTAATGCCTCTGGTCCATTTCCAAGGGTCTGTTTTGGTATTAGGACCATATTCAGACAAGCTCAAGAATCTGAGTGTAACACAGTCAGTCTGAATGAGGACATTAAAAATAACGGGCAAGATTTTTGGCAGGTGTCCAGTGCAGTTACCCAGCACTGGTACCACTGAAAACATGTTGATGTGAAGAATTTGTTTAAATTTAAGTGAAAACTAAAGGTCCATACCTTAGTTGTGCAGAGTCAAAACTGGAGTGTGCACATCTGATTCATGATGGAATGAATAGGTGGCTACTCAGAATAATTAAGCTAAACTTGTTCTCCTGTGCAATTCCAGAGCTTCAATGCCTGTGCCACAACTCTACTGCCTGAATACTTGGATGAGAAAAGATATTTTTGCTGTATTTAGAAGAAAGAAGGAAGGATTCCTGTTTGCTTTATACCTGAGCTATTTGACACGTCATGCCCACTTCCAACATACAGCATTGCTCTGATCTTCAGGATAAGAAAAGGCAGAAAACCCAGATGATACTTCCAGTTATTCTTTTGTCAAAAGCCAGAGATGCCTGCAGTTGGGATCTCTTTGAATTCACCGTTAAGGATGGCTGCCACAGAGTGATGGGGCATCCAGGCACAGGCACTGTCGAATGAAGACTTTAATTGACATACTGCAGAAAAGGATCTTAAACCAACCTGTATTTGTCAAAATGGAAGTGCAGATCTCAGTGTAGTCTTTGTAATTCAGGACAAGCTCTAGAAGTTAAATTGCCTGAAGCATAAATGTGTGGAAAAAAGCACTTTTTTATGACAAATCCCATAGGAGCTTTATTCTCAGGGCTCTATACAATTTACTCTTTATTCTTTCTGTTATTTACCTTTTATTGAAGAGTGTGTTCTTTTATGCAGGGTACAAAGAGGAAACGTATGCAAATAATATGTTTGTAAGAAAAACAAGGTGACTTGAAGACCTTTATGTGCTTGAATAGAAAATCCTGAATGTGGTTTTTTGGTTTTTTTTCTTTTACTGCTTTGGCAAACCCATGAGTTAAATTTCAGCATTGGTAGAGCCATCAGAAGAATTTTTGCAAGAGACAACATGTTAAGTGGATTTAATATTACATTGAAAGGCAAAAGACTTGGATTCTACTCTCTATAGCACTTCCACTCTGCAATGCGGAAAGGCTGATTTTTCTCCATTCCCCTACATCATGGTGTAACCCCAGCCAGCAGCCAAGCCCTGCTCAGCCACTCACTTAATCCCCCACCAGTGGGATCAGGGAGAGAATCAGAAGGGTAAAAATGAGAAAATTAATGAGTTGAGGTAAAGACAATTCAATAGGGAAAGCAAAAGCCATGCACACAAGCAAAGCAAAACAAGGAATTTGTTCACTGCTTCCTATGGACAGGCAGGTGTTCAGCCATCTCCAGGAGGACAGGGCCCCATCACATGTAATGGCTACTTGGTAAGACAAGCACCATCACTCCAAACATCCCCCCCATTTCCTCCTTCTTACCTTCACTTCACATACTGACCATGATGCCATATGGTCTGGAATATCCCTTTGGAACACCTGTCTTGTCTGTGTCCTCCCAGGTTCCCATGCATCCCAGGTTTCCCCAACAGTGTTGCAGTTGAAAAAGCAAAAAAGCCATGGTCTTGTGCAAGCCCTCCTCAGCAGCAGCAGCGATATCTCTGTATTATCAACTTAGACTTCGTTCAGCACAAATCCAAAACAGCCCCATACCAGACACATGATGAAAATTAACTCTATCCCAGCCAAAACCAGCATGCAGTATTTCATCTTTGCACTCCCTTGGACCCCTCTATGTTGGTAGCCTTTAAACACTCTAGAGAGAAGGAAGGCTTACACTGTCAATGTGTTGTTCCTAGCATAGCAAAGCCACTAATACCAAGTGAATGCTGTGGAAGATGTGACTAGCACTAAAATAAGTCAAGAGACATATTTGAACTTGTCTCATGGTCTGTTTTCACCTTACAAGCCATAATCATTTTCAAGAAGTGTTACTGCTTGCTAGTCCTGACATCACCCTTGTGTACCCTGGCTATCAGATATTGATAGAAGAATAGGCAAGACCCAGAACGGGCCAGGAAGAAAGAAAGAATGAAGGGAATGGGGGGAAGGATAGTTTAAACTAAAAAGAACCATCTGAAAAAGGACTATAGAAATCTGATAGTGGTCAGAATAGTGATGACCTTTGGAGAGCAGCATCTAATTCCCAGGCTTCTTCTAGTCAAAAGATTCTGGCCCTGCAATTCCCTTACCATGTTGTAACAAGAGGAGTGGACAGAAGCAGCAAGAGACCAAAGGTCATGCAAGCCTCACCCACAGAGCTACATTGCAGACAAATATGTGCAGTATTCCAGGCTAGAAAGGCCTGGCCTTCCTCCTAGAGACAGAGTTGTTGCTCACAGTGTATATATTTTCTCTCTCTTTCACTCTTAGCATGTGTCATGACCATTTCCTCCATCCGTCTTGGCAACTACTAGCAACTACTAGCCCTCATATTACTTCTTTTCCCTTCTGAAAATATGTGCAACTCCAAAAATCTCCATTCTGCAGTTGAGTTCTGGAAGAAAGGTTTGCTTGTGGACCTCTCATTGATTTCTCATTGAATTCAGGGAAGTCTTTGCCTGGCTGATCAACTATGGGTTTCAGTGAACATTTTAACTAGAGTTAAAAAGGTAAAATTCAGTGCTTGAGTCCAGAGAAAAATACCTGCCACTTTTCTAAAAGATACATTAGTTCTAACAATCTAGTGCCCTTTAACTTTTCTCCTCATGTACCCTCCATTTATCCTAACCTGTCCTGTTTAGTATTCAAACCTTGTTTCTTTTCTCTTTTGCCCTATAATGTAATTTTTTACACCAGATGTTTTGCACATTACACAAAGCTGTAAGAAGTGTGACTTGCAGTAATTGCACTGCAGTGGCTGAGATGGATCAGGAATCCCTGAGCTTTTGTTCTGGCAGTGATGGTAGTGAGTCATCCTGTAACTTCAGACATTGAATTGCTCTCATCCTAATTGCTCTCTCCCTATTTTCGTGCCTGTTGAGTGGAAGAAGTTGCATCTACCTCACAGGGCTATTTTGGAGGATTAGGACTTTAAAGTGTGCCACAAGCCTTGTTAAGTATTGCTTAATGTGTTTATTAAGGGGCATGCACAGCCCTGGGATGTTTTTTGTGGGACTCAGGAGTGCTGCAAAACCACTTTTTTTTTTCTGGAGACCATACTGAGCATACAGTAGGAGTTGTCTTTCACAGCAGGGAAGGTGTGCACACTCCCAGGTTGAGTAGCAACCTCAGTACCTGCTCACCCAAGCAGATAGTCTCACCTCCATCTTACTGACATGAAAATTAACACCAGTGTTCTCTTTCTTTCTTTTAGATCCTGGTGCTCCTGTGAAACTGCCTTGTATGCCAGTTAAACTGTCACCTCCACTACCTCCAAAGAAAGTCATGATTTGCATGCCTTTAGGGGGGCCAGACCTCTCTCTCTCATCCTATTCCACGCAGAAGAGCTCCCAGCAGCCTTTGACCCAGCAGCATCACACTGTCCTGCCATCGCAGTTAGCAGCTCACCAGCACCAGCTCCAGTACGGCAGCCACAGCCAGCACCTTCCTTCTGGGTCCAGCACGTTGCCCATTCACCCTTCAGGGTGCCGGATGATCGAGGAACTGAACAAAACACTAGCCATGACCATGCACAGGCTAGAAAGGTAATGGATCAACTTTTAAAATTCCATAATGGTGTGCACTGTTTCCTGCTAATCTCAGCATAAATATCATCACTTGAGTCACGTTCATAGGACTTGAATGAGGTGTGTCCTCTGGAGTCTAACTTCAAGGCAGAGTCATTTCTGGAGAAAAAGAGGCAGAGGAAGAGCCTTTCCAGGATTGTTTGACTAGTTTGTGGCAGAAAGGAAATAAAGACCAAATTCCCTGAACCCCATTGTCCTGTTCAAGGAAGCAGATAATACAGCCAATGGAGAAGACTTTAATGGGACGTGCCTGGCTTGCAGTATGTAACTGCAGAGCTCCAGTTGTGTGGAGGATTGCTAAATGCAAGGAGAGGAAGATTCATAAGAGGGCAATTAGAATCCAATGTGCCACTCCAGCAGGGCATCTGATTTGTATTTCCTATTAGCTCAAAACAATCTATGTGGACTTCCTACAAGTCCCTTAGAAGAGTTTTAATACAATATTTAATTTTTTTTAATTAATTTAAATTAAATTATATGTTTCATCCTAAAATAAGCATTTAACTCCTTTCACAGCAGCTACCATCTTTGCCATTTGCATCTGGCATGAGGTAGCACATTTGATCCGAAATGCCTTACCTACCTTGGGACTTTTTTTTGTTATTGTCACTTATGACTATCTCTGAATGTTTCTCCAAGTAATCTGAGTAAGTGAAGCATGTTGTATAAATGCAAGCTGCCCTTATAGACTACAACATCAGCAAGCTTTGGAAAATTTATTTCACCTTGCAGAGGAAAACTGAGAAAGTCCCAGAATAGGGAAGATTGTCTGAAAAATTACATGTTTTATTTAGTACCAAGGACAGCTTTGTAGCCAGCTTGTTCTAGGAACATCTAGATCATCATGTTATACAGTAAGGCAAAATAGTTTGTTAAATAGGTTTAACAGACAAAATGCCTAATGATTTATCCCAGTATTTCTGTTTGATAACACTACCTTCATTATATTCTATAGTTGGAAACAACTGGATTATTGATGGCAGTTTCTCCTTACTGCTTGAAAAAGAGTCAGGAGACCAGAGGCTGTCTCACACTGCCACCTTATTTTAGTACCAGAATATTGACACATCTGTGATTACATCATGGGTCTAATGTTTCTGCATCATGGGGGAATTATCAGCTGGGGAAAAATTACTAGGGCTTTGAAGGAGATTCTTATTCCCTTCAGTGAAAGAGCTGAAGAGGTAGGATAGAAACAGCATCCAAGTTGTCCTCCACTGCCATACTCAGTGACTACCCATTTACCTCTCACACTGCCAGCATGGCTGGTCTGGTGCCTCTGCACCACCCTAAAATTCAATGCACCAGGCACAGAGCGCAGCTGTTGTCTCCCAAAGATTCCTTTGGGGATGCACTGCCCATTCCGTCCCCAGCTTAGGTCGGATGTCTTTGTGTCTGGCTCACACTGTGTGCAGCAAGGCCCTTTGTTATCCCGAGCCAGTGACATCTCTCAGAGTATGACTTCACTGTGGCATCTGTTGCCCCACAGCAATGAATGCTCCAGTTTCTAGTCATCCATCATGTTTATGTCTACCAATATGTTTAACTGCTTGAAAGACGGTGATGCTGTTTGGGTTTAACTATTATTTTGAAGCTGAAGCTCTGCTGCTTGTTAAAAACTGAATAAGCAAGCATTCATGTCCCAGTCTGAAGCAATTGCTCCCTTTTGCAATTAATAAGAGGAAAATAAGAAAAGGTTGTGACACTATACTTCACATTTAAAATGAATATGAATCCTAGTTCATGATATTGCAGGCAGATTTTTCATAGCCTTTTTTATGTTGACTAACTGTTAGTTAAATCATGGATTAATGTATTGAGTACTTTGTTTGTATTCCTTGTCAAAACAAATCAATAAATTTTGCATTCACACAGGAGAAAATAGGTCATGATCATTTCCTCTGCAACAGCAATTGTTATTTTTGTAGTATATAGAGGTAAAAGTATTTCAACCCATTTACAGTTCTGTGGAGATGATCTTGCTGTTAAATTCTTCATCTCCTTTTTTCAAGCTACATTGTAATCTAGATAAATTTGCCAAGTGTGCTTGAAGATTTCTGCATATTTTTAAAATATATTTATTTTACTTGGGAGACAATTACTTGCACTAAATGCCACTGTTTTCTATTATTTTTGACAGTACTTACTTTCCCTTATTGTAAAAATCTGCATTAAACCCCAGAGAAATTATGCTGCAGTATTTGTCACTGCACACTTCAGCCCAAAACTCTTGAGGGCATGTTAAAACTGTGAAGATCCTAGATCTTCTTCCTCTGTTTGGAATTTGGTAGTGTGCTCACATCTGTAGTATGCATAGGATATGGAGTGACATCCTACACCTTGCTGATCCTTCCAAGTTAGCAAAGTACTGGGCCACTACTGCTGGGTCAATAATCCTGAGGAGATGAGAGAGCCTGATAAGTCTCTTATCACCTTCTGGTGAATACTAAGGGGGTTTTCCTTCTGATCTCAGCTATTATCTCGAAAGTATCCTACAACTATACAGAATAATTGCCAGGGTGCTGCAGTAATAATGCTGCCAAATCTGGTAATTTGGGGGATTATTTAGAATAGTGTTTTGATTTTAATAAGAGATGATCATATAGACAAGTACAGATCAGGTTTCAGCTCTAGTTTTTTTCTTCTTCTTCTGGAATTTTTCCTTATCTTCCTTGTATCTAGTTTCTTTGGTGCAGTAGAAGCTCCTCAAGGTCATTTAAGCTACAATGATATTTGCTGAATCAATTTGTATGAAATCCACATTTTGCCCAGTAAACTTTTCTTAGACCTCACAACTCTCTTGTTCACCGGGTCTCTGAATGTAGACATGAACAACAAATGAAAGGCTAAAACCTTCCCTTCCTCCAGCAATCTGGATTTTTTGCTTACACAGATAAGATCTCTGGAATTCAAATAGTCTAACAACATCTGAAGACTGATAGTTGAAATCAGTGCTTTGCCAATGAGCCACAGGCTTGCCAGAGAAAAATGAGCTTTCCCTCTGTACAGACCTGGGAGCCAGATTTTTCTGTCTTTGACCTTAAGAAAGTTACTGAGAAAGTTACTGAGTCTCTCTATCTCTATTTTACCCTCTGAAAGAGTGATTGCATGTAACTGCCTCACCTAGATCTAGTGCATATTAATTAGTTAATATCTTAAGGTACATTAAAAGGCATGTAATAGCTGTTCAAGTCCCAGTTGTTCTTATGACTTAAAATGGCAGTTAATTCCTGGATTTTTTATTCAGTTTTATTACAGACATTATAGAACATTAAGTTGATTTGTGCACTTAACGCTTTTGATTGCAAACATTTTCTGGTACTTATAATATCTATTCATAACCTATTCTCAGAAGGGCAATCTGCCCCTTGTCATAGTATGACTATTATGACATGTCATTTGTGCTGCCAGTTTGCCTCTATTTTCCCTGATAAATTACCAGTTTTAGGGTAGATTAAGGTGAAACAGAGAAAAGTGTAATTTCCATGTAACCTTTTTTCTTCAGCCTCTGTTGCTAATTTGTGTCCTACTGCAAATTACTTTCCCCTTCAGTCCAAAGGGTGTTTGCCAAGCATAAGTAAAACTAGATTTGGACACCATTTTTTGCCATTTCAGAATGCATTTTCGGACTTGATGAAAATCTGGTAAGCCCTGCCACCAAAATACACAGATTTCATTGTCCTGACTGAACTGAATTTGAGAAGAAAGACCATGCCCCAAAGCTGTGCATCACAAACAGTGGCTGAGGAAACTTTAGAAACTCTCTTGCGACACCTAAATGTGTCTTTAATTTTGACTTAGTGAGGCAGTTTCTTGATCTGAAACAGCCTGATTGTTTGCCTTGCCTGTGTAATTCTCAGCCTGAGTCACCTGGAATAGTGACAATTAATTTAATTTACTCTGTGGGCTCATGTACAGGAGCGGGTGCAGATGAATCCAGGCCTCAGTTTGTTCACCATATGTACTAAAGAGCTGTTAAGTAGCAATATCTCACTCCAGGCTAGAATTGCCTCTGTGGCAGAGCAGTAAAAAATCACTGTGTCCAAAAAGACTGCGTGTGAGACCAGTTCCTCTGGGACACCCAACTCAGCTTCAGACTGTAGATTTATGAAATGAAATGCATTAGACATTACCGCCAGTGTCTTGTAAATCTTATGAAACATATTTGAGTCAGAAAACATTTATCTTCCATAAAACTTGTCAAGAGAATTGCTTCTTGTCTAAACTTTAGCATTGCCTAAGGATAGAAACACTTAATATTTATAGCTCTACCTTCTGTCTCTGTTTCTCACACACATTCCTGTAGTATTCCAGTGGCTTGAAGTTTTTTCAGATTTTTTGTTTTAACTGGTAAGTGCAGAAAAGCATACTGTGGATCTGAAAACATTCTAATAAAAATGTAACTTTTTATTCCCCAGTTAAAGGGCCTGGCATGACAGACAAGAAGTGTGCAGGTTTTTCCCACTAGATTTTACAGGAAGTATTTAACTTTTTTTTTTTCTTTATTTTGTCTGTACCATGAGTCATTTATATGCTTAAATTGTGATTTTTCATTGAAGTATTTTCTCGCTCGAAACATTGTAAGCTATAGTGGTGTAACTTTTTTGCTGTTTTGATCATGTAAAGATGATGCAGCTGTAATTGCAAGTTCTTATTCTAGGGAGCTATGAAATGTTCAGATACATGCATTAAGATCTTCTTTAAACAAGTACTTGCTTAACTGTAGCTCTTTAATTTTGTTGCAAAACGCAAAACTGGTTTAAAATGGGCTTTTTGAAACAATAGTGTCCTTTTTGGTGAATAGTGCTAAGAATTTTGTGGTGTAGACCACATGACCATGTGGAAGTTTTGCTAATGACCCAGAGTCATTTATACGCAATGGACATATCCAGTGACCTTGATTTGTCTTTTTGAAGTATACTGCAGTACTGCATGTATTTCATAAGCACTTTGCTTAGACAGCTGATTTAGTCAAATTGCTGTGGAAAGGGCTGATTTTAATCAAGAACAACACAAAACACTAGGAAAAATGAGGGGCTTAAAATAGAAAGTAGTATTATCAAGAAAGTGGATGATTCAGAAAACTTACAATGAGATGAGAAGATTTCTAGATCACTAGTTCAAATAAAAATCCTCTGTGGTAACTTGTAAATTTTGTTGCCATCCTCTTATCTGCTCAATAACCTAAATTGATGGATCACTTTGATATCTGCTACCCTATGGACACACCCGAAAGGATGCATCCAGAAGCTACAACCATCCTTTACAGAACAGGGATGCACCATATAGTCCTAGATGCTGAACTACTTCTTCCTCCCTTCATTTGTATTTCAGAAGGGTACACAGAGAGTAAGTACAAATTAGTGAATTTGTACTTACTCTCTGTGTATGTATTGTTTTAAAATTAACTGAATGATCCAGTGGTTGTGTGCTTGCAATTGGAGGTTTTGGGTACTTTTTTTAGCAATGTTAACAGAATTTCACAATATTGGAGTTTTTCTCCGAAATTTGATTCCAGACTTTTGAATTTCCTCTCTTTCCTCTTTAAAAGACTTACTCAAAAATTACCTTACAGAGAAAACAGATTTAATGAAGTTCATAATATAAAAATTCTGAAAGCATTTCAATAAATTATAGTTAGTTCAACATTTTTAAAGATTGTAGCGTATGGATGTGTCATTATGAGAATTCAGTTGATGAATTCTAAACTGCATCTGGGATAAAGTTTTTTGTGTCAAACTCATTGAAGTTCCATACAAAAATTTGCAAGCCAGTTCTTCATGAATCTCACTTTGTGGCACAAAACATGGGCTATCACTAAGAAAATCAAGTTTGTCTCTTCAAGGCTTCTAGTAAAGCTCTGCATCTCGTTGGTTAGTCTGCAATAATACATGTTGGAATTAACAAAATTATTTCTTTGAAGCTGAAGATGATGATAACAGCATGGTATGGTTTGTTCACAGGATCTGAAGTCTTTTCTTCTCTTTAATCCCTAAGCATATTTGGAGTAGCATTATATTCCTAGAACTACATTTTAAAAAACTCTCTTATTATGTTATCTGGCAGCCATTTAAGAGTCCATTCTAACTTTTGGGTTAGAAGAAAGCAAAGTATTTCAAGCTGAAGATAGTAGATTCAGTAGATTTCTGTAGAAAATCTTTTAAAGAGAAGAATACATTTTATTTAAGATACAGAACACCTCTGGTATTTAGGCTAAAATATTCAAGGGAATTGAGGGTACTCAATACTTGTCAGATCCAAGTTTGTGTGCCTCAAGGTCAACTTGGCCCGCACATCTGCTTTCATACCTGTGTTCTTCTAGAAAGTAAAATGGGAGTTTGACATAGAGAGGCAAATGTTGCCCATTTTTCATAGAGCTATTGCATCAGCCAGGATTTCAGTCAGAGGGCAGTTTCTGCTGTTTTACAGATAATCCTGAGCTGCCACCATTTTTGCCTGCCAGTCTCTCATTCAGATTTCACACTGGAAAAGCAACATGAACTATTTAGATAAAAATTGGTTGGGAAACATGGTTCTGTTCCTGACTTTTCCTTTCACTTTTTCTTTGAATTTGATCTTCACCTTCTGATGTTCCCATTTCCCTACATGATATGTTATCTGGTAAAGGACTTTGAATTCAACACGTAAACAGGGCTAGATAGTAGCAGTCCTCACCACAGGTCTTAATCTCATAAGATGCAGAAAATAATCAATCACACCTGTGACAAAAGAAATATGATGTTAGTGCTAATTCTGATTGATCATCAGCACCAAGCTGGATAAAGAGCTAGGGCAGGACAAGGGATATCATCATGGTCATCCCCCACATAACTGTGCCATTAGCAAAGAAAGCTCCCAGGTTTTAGCTACTTCCTGGTTACTCTCACCTGCTCTCAAAGTCTCTTTTCTCCAAGCCCAGTTTCACATGCTCACTCCCCTGCATGTCAAAGAGCTGTGCACTTGCCATCCTCTCAAGTCACTCATCACTAGTGCAAGCCACTAGTTTTCCCTCTGTCTTTCTACAATTATCCCCTAGTCTATCCCTATCCTTCCTTCCTCCCAGTCTTACTCCACCTTTTGCGGTGAGGTGAAACATTTTCCCCTTGCTGTCTGCACAATAGCAGAAAGGTCACACAGACACCAGGCTGAAGGTGTGCTCACCACTGAGTAGCTGGTCACTAAGTACTTACCCCAGATCTTTAGTGCTTTCGTCCTGGCTGACAGTATTTCTGTCTGCATGCTGTCCTGCCTCTCCCTAATAAGTGTTGTACCCTAAATCTATTAAGTACTCAGTTTAAACCCATTAGATGTCTTGCCAGTCTTGAAAATCATTCTGTTCTCATTTCTTCTCAAAAAGGGATGAAAGACCACTACTTTCCAGTATACAGTGAGAGAAGCAACTCTGCCTTTCATTGACCTGTTTCCTTTAGTTTATTTATTTGCTTTTCTTTCCCAACAGCTCTGGTTTACACACAAGTGACAGTGTTACAAAAACAGGACCTGGGGGCCTTCCAGACATGAGACAAGTGCCAACTGTTGTGATCGAATGCGATGACAATAAAGAAAATGTGCCTCATGAAACTGACTATGAAGATTCTTCCTGCCTCTATCCAAGGCAGGAAGAGGAAGAAGAGGAAGATGAAGAGGAGGATAACTCATTATTTACAAGTAAGACTTATTCCATTTTTCTTTCCTCACTTATTTAATTTTTGCTCTGAACTTGCAATACACAAAGGAAATACAAGGTCTGTGTATTTTGTCTCTTTGCTGTGGCTTTTGCATCTCTCAGGGCTTGACTACATGGGGTTGCTAATTCAAAATAACAAACAGTATGAATTTATAGTGATTTCACTAATATACATGAATTCCTGTCTCAGTAGCACTCAGACTAAATTCAAATGATAGATTTGGGCTTATATTGGTTCAATTAAAAATTGGCTTTTGGATTCGCTTTCCCAAATGCCCATGGTGAAGAGAAGTCCTGCCTTTGGCTTAAGTCAAGATCATGTCAATAGTTACTTCAGGAGGATGAAATAGTTGCCACACATAGAGAATTAGAGCTTTTATATATAGTCAGTATTAAATAATTTTGGACTCATAAATGTGCACATGCTTTGAAAGGGGTCACAGTCAGAGGATTGAGCTCAGATAAGAAGATGTTAATCAATAGCCATATCATGATTACAGACTGGGAAAGGACCTGTGGCCTTCCTGACCTCTGTAAGGAAACCCAACTCCTGCCTCAGTGTGGCATTGTAAGACTGTCCCATGAAGACAAGATACAGTATTTTATATATGACAATTGCTTGTCATCCTAGACACTGAAGTTCCAGGCCTTTGGCTTTCTTTTCTTCTGAAAACTGGAAGCAGTACAATCAAACAACATCCCTTTTAAAACACACAGAAAGAAGATTCTGAACCAGGCATATTTCATCTCCTCAGAAACCACCTTACCATGCAAGTGATATTAAGCAGTGTTTGCTCTTAAACTAAAAACAGAACAGACTGCACTATCTCACACTCTCCTGACGGAGGCCAAAACCTCTCATGTGTTTGTGTCTCTCTGTGTCTGTCTTCCTTGCTGAAACTGCTTTGGACATGAGCCTAAGAAAGCAAATTTGAGCCATAAAAGGCCACTGGTTTTTAGGGTCTTTGCCACTGTCACTGCCTGGGAAGCAGTTCGTTAATGTGCACAGAGATTTATGCTGCTTCTGATTGACTTTTGATTCCTTCTAGTGCTGGCTTAGATGTCTTGATATTACATTGCAAGAGACATTCAGATACCCCTCTCCTTTCACATGCTGTAGCTCTGCTGCATGCCCAGACTCTGAGGTTGAATTTTTCATTCCATTATGTGGAAATACTGTACTACAGAAAGCTATACATGGTACCAGCAATTCTGAAACAAGCCCTTCTTCTCCATTCCCCTCTATGGAGGAATATATTAATTTCTATTTTCTGTATACATACAAATTTCAGTTTTTCCTTATTATGATATGAATTGAGGTTAATTGAGCACATGAAGTTAATTACACCCCTTTTCCCATAGTTCATACCAGTAAAGGGGAGCCTCATATTGTCCCTTGTCTAGTACTTCTTTGCCAGCTGCATGCTGTAATGAAATGATGACACCTCCTTTGGCAGACCCTCTCCTCTCTCACACAGGCCCCCTGGCAAGGAAACTCTGCAGGAAGGACTCTTTAGCAATCAAACTAAGCAACAGGCCTTCCAAGCGAGAGCTGGAAGAAAAGAACATCCTCCCCATGCAGACTGATGAAGAGAGGCTTGAACTTAGGCAGCAGATTGGGACAAAGCTAACAAGGTAAGAGAGAAACTTTTTTTTAATTCTTGCTTTTGGAAATATGTGGTGGGATGTAGTTTTTTCCTTAGTCTTTAAACATTTGAGATCTGTTTAGTTACAATGTTCAAGAGGAAAAGCCATGGAGAGGAAAAAATGGTTATATACGTTGTTTCTGGTTCAGTAAAGCTTCCCATATAACTCCCCATTTCATTTTCCTGCCATACGCTATGGGACCTTTGGTTATGTGTCAGTATGAGCTACATGAATTTGGTTCTTTTTGGTGCATCATTGGAAAATGTTCAGTTTGGATAACATTTTGGACTGTAGCTGCAGGTGCCATTTTATAAGCTATTAGTTTGGCCAAAGGTCAGAGGTATAATTTTCTCTTCTGACTGTACCTCCTGTGAGTAGCTGAGACTTTTCCTGGTGCAAAATAGGTTAAGTCCTTCATTGGGTCAGGTTGGACAGATTTACCCTGTCTAAACACCTTCTTCAGTTACTCACCAACTGTTCTGGCTTTCTGTATTACATGGGGTATAAAGGGGTGGCCATTAAATGTGGAGGATTTCTGACAAGAATTGGTAAACTGAGGTTAGACAGAACTGTCTAAGAACCTTCTATGTGCATGGCATGATTTCTGTAATCAATTTAATCCTCTTACATTGTCAACTTGGTGGTATGCAGAGCTGGTGAATGCTGTTAGTTGCTCTCCAGTGAGAAAACCACAAGGAGATGGCCAACCAGTTGTTGGGAATTTTCTTGTATGTTTTCATTTTTTTATTTTGGGGGTAGGTGGATAAGGGGGAAACACTGCTACCATGTTATGGAGACAGGAAGGAGCTCCTGGTAAATACCACTTTCAGCAATTCATTTACTTTTCTCTCATGGCCTTGTTTATCACCTCTTTGGAATAAACTAACCACACCTTTCCAAACTGTCTTTGAAAGTTTTTGTGCTGGCTCATACTCAACCTACTCCAAAACTCCAATTCTTCAGTTTTCTTGTTGAGGGGCTTCAGCAAACATGCCCAAAATATGTAAGATTGTGTTGCACTGTTGTTGGTACTGTGATTTTTCAGTTCAGTCTTTACTCAGCTTTATTCCAACCTTGTTAGACTGTAGCTGCAATGGGGCTCTGGGTCCCAAAGAACAGCACAGGACAGCAAGGTCCCAGTGCTTATATGATTAAATTTGAACCCTTTTGAAGCATGTGAAGAATTTAAATGTTTGTCTCTTAGCCTATCTCACTGCTTGCAATGACATGAAACAGCATTATCACTGTGTCACCCGTTTGCCTAAATTACTTAGGTCTTTCTGAAGTTTTCCAGCTATGGCTGGTGAAGGAAAGTGATGTCATTTACAAACATTGATTCTGCACAGCTCACTGTGCACCAGGTCTTTTTCATTATAAGTATTTTATTTTTCACCTCTCCAAAACCTGCTTTTTTCCTCGCTAAACAATATTTTTTCAGCATATGCCTTTTTAACAAAAGAAGCTATTTTTAGCAATACACAAAACTCTTCCTTTCTAAGCCCCATATTCTCATAATGTTGTTTTTTGTTTCCCCAATTGTATCTCTGCCAATCTGAGTTTAACAGTTGGAGCTATAATGCCTGATCTTGTCTTCTAATATAGCTAGGACTTAAGGGCAATCACAAATATTTCAAATAATTAATACTGTGTATATATGAGTTCAAAAAAATAGCTGAGCTGATTAACAGCTGTTTCATTCCTGCTTTATATCAGTGTAACATCACTGAAAATGGTAGAATTCCACAACTGGAGTGGTATAGCTGCCAGTCTGACCTTTAAATTAGTAGTATTTACAACTTAGTATCTCATCCTTTTGAGTAGTTGAAAATAATCATGAAATACGAGGAGAAAACAATTTTTCTTATATCTAATATGTAAGAAGCCACAGACATTTCAGCAGCAAAAAGGAAAGGTGCTTGTCTTACCAGTGTTTTATATCTAAATGCGATATATCCATGTGCACAAACTGATGAATATTAAGTTAAAATAGAGAGAATATTTCAATTTGGACAGTATTTCCTTACTGTCCAGACTTTATTACTGAATCCATCCTTTGCTGTTGCTTGGTAATTGTCACACAGTGATGCAAATGCCAACCAAAATTAAAGTAGTGAAGCATTTATAGTCCTTAGAGAAGATGCTAGATGCAGACTATAATTGCAGCTGGCAATTTTGGATTTCAGAGGGATTTGTACTGCTCCACCAATGGTCCCCTAGGGTTTAAAATATCCAGCCAATCAAATCATATATGCTACTTACAGAAGTAAAAAATGCAGAATAAAAACTTCAGCACAGAGTTATTGTCTGTAATGGATCAATTAATTTTCACCAAGAGGCTGATTAGGATACTTCAGTATTTATGCATAATCCTCACAGTATTTAATTTGGAAGAGCTCATTGGCTGCCACATTTGGCAGATCAGAATTTAGTATTATAAAGAGAATGTCTTTTTCAAAGATGCCTCTATCCAGGCATATTGAGATTGGCTGTTGACATATTGTGTGCGACCAAAATCATCCCAGGTGCAGTTCCTCCAGCCTTATTAGAGTTGCACTGGGAATCAGTTTGGCTCAGAAAGGTCTGTTCAGATCTTGTTTAAATGTAGTTTGGAACCTCTTGTTATTCCCAGAAAATTATTATGACTTGAGTATTACATCAGCCAACTGGAAGAGAGAGAGATTCCACAGCAGAATTCCATTTCCCATGCTGGGAGAATAGTGCCGTGACTTACACCAGGCCAATTGTAAGGGTGAGGCTGGAGGGACTGTATCTTATAGGAGGACCTGGCCTACTACACACCTTGGTGCTCACTCAGCCAGGAGAGAAATTCTTTGTGCCTGTCATAGAAACATTTCACATGAATTGTGAAGTCACGCTTCCCTGGTCTTCGTCCTGTGTCATGGCTCAGCACATGCAGACCCAAGCAAAAATGGAGCTTCTTGCCCAAGGTGGCAAAATATGTCCTAACAAAGGCAGGAGATTCCACATCATATGAATTCCAGCCACATGAATAGGCTGCTGCACCATAAACCATTTCTGAGGAGTCCTTAATAGCAATTATGGCAATTGATTACAGCAATTAATTAGAAGACCTCCTCCTCTAACCAAACCAGAATGGATTACTCCAAAATGTGACATCTCCCATGAAGCAAGGAGCAAAAATAGTGAATTAAGATGCAGAACTTTCAGCTCAAAACCACATATGGCATGGGAATAGGAAATGGATGCTGGAGGCCATGTTCTTGGCTGCTAAAAACCTTTACAGCTCCATTATCTTCCACTCTGAAATGCAAACCTTCTGTGCTAAGTAAATCTTTAAGTGGGTATGATGTTCTTTTTTTTTTTTTTTTTTTT